CAATTTCCTACTTTGGGTTATCATAATCTGTATTTTTTGTCGTACCTTCTAAACAATGATTCTCGTGTTCCATCAGCTTCACACTCAGTTTCTTCACCACTGAGAAGTTCTTCGGACTCACCAGAACTCTCCAACTCTTCATCATATGCTTCAATTTCGGGTAGTAGTTTGAACTTAGGTTCCTTTAAAATCTCATCCCAAACTTTTGCCCTCTCTTTAATGATATTTTTTTCCTCTTTTGGATCCAGGTCATAGTCACTGTCGTGGAATTCAGCATTTCCATTTGGCTCTACCTCTTTTGCCCTGATCTTCTCCAGCATTTCAGCAAGGTATCATCATCAGAATTATAATCTGTACTTGTTCTGACCACTTTCTTCTTCTTCTTCTTCTTTTTCCCTTTTTCCTTTCCTCCTTCATTGTTGCAGTCTTTTACTGAACCAGTTGCTGTCTGCACTGCTTCTTCAGAACCACCGGTGTTGTGTTGTTTTTTTGAACAATTGTTGACATCAGCTGTGTTGTTTTTTTGAACAATTGTTGACATCAGCTGCTGCTTCAAGTCCTTCACTGTTGCACTCTTTATTTGAACTAAGTTCTGCCTGCTCTGCTGTTGTTGCATTCTTTTCACTGTTGTATGTTTTTTCTGAAACAATGTCCACCTCAGCTGTTTTCATCACCAGTACAATTGAACTCTTTTTCTGATCCAATTTTTTCATCGCCTCCTTGTTCATCACAATCAACACCCGCACCAGTATTTGCCTTATCTGTTCTCCCTAGAATTTGTACATCTGCTTCTTCATCAGAATCTTTACTCTCCAGAATCTGTACATTAGGACCAGAACCAATATTTTTCTTCTTTTTTGCTCTCAGTTTCTTGTTTTTCTTCCTCTTAACAGCAACAATTTTTTGTCTTAGTTTTGACAATGGACTATTTAGACGCTTATTTGCCATACGTGGGGTGAGAACTTCGTGTGTAAGCTGAGTATCAACCGGGTCATCTTCATCATCAGAAAGTTCAACGTCTTCATTTGGGTGCACCACAAACAGATCAACGAAACCATGCTCTAATCCAAGTGCAGCGATGGTATTTGCAGAATCATTGGAAGACAGCAGCACCAATCCTTCGTCCATGTCCTTTCCATGTTCCAGGAAATAATAACTTAGGTCACCACAAATTTTCATATTCTCATCAAGAAAAGCATCCACTTCTATTTTTGACCAGTAGTTTGTGTTGCATTTCCTCATGGCGGTGACATATCCACCTCTGTACAATCTTCCAGGTGCCTTGGTTAGAAATCTATTATAATGGAGCCGCACAGTGAAGAAACCATCTGCACAAAACCCACACAAATGTCAGTAACTATTTTGGTCCAATACTTTTTAGCAGTAACTATTTTTGTTCTATACATTTTTGCAGCAACTATTATGGTCATATACAAATTTAGTTGAAACTATTTTAGTTTTATTCAATTATTAAATCCATATTGACGCTGCACTTTTATCAATGCACGAATAAGACAAATTGACAATACACATCAACTTAAATGCACAAGTTCAAAGACAGAAAAAAAAAAGTTTAAGGGGAAATCGATTGACCTGTTGTAATTTAAAAATCGATTTTCCCTTCTCCAACAAGTACGGTTTCAAACATAAGAACAAAAAAAAAATATTACAAATTACATCTGCGGCATGAAGTTCGACAACGACTAAAAACTGCCAAAGGGATATGCTTTTGTGAAGAAAAGAATGAAACATTCATGTCCCACTGAAAATCCCTTCTAAGTTTGACAAGGACTCATATAATAAACAGAGCCATCAAAAAGTTCCAACTTTTAATCTATTCACGCGACCAAAATAGGACCTATACAATAAACAACTCTTATGCTTCTCTTTCGACAGACATAAAGACAAAGAATAAATAATTGACAAATACCATACAAAAATCGAGTTTTACACCCTAAACTCACCTGTATTATGGTCTGGTTGGATGCTTGGATATTAGATCTCGTTCGTCACATGTTTCACCGGATGAACTCCGATTATTCTCGATTTGCAGAAACCCATATTTAATCGACCACTCACACTTCGATTCTAGTCCATGTCACTATGTTTTAGGGTTCAGATTTGGTTCTTTCTTCAGATCTAATGAAATGGTTTTTATTTTCGCAAAAGTGATGAAAATGAAAGGGATGAAATGGAAGTTCGAAAGTTCCAAAGCTTGGCTGCAAAAAAGAGCCAAAAAATATGTTAAGTACTTCCCCAAAAAAAAAATATGTTAAGTACTTCCCCAAAAAAAAAAATTTAACATCTCACGTTTACATTAGCAAAGCAGTAAAAAAAATTTACGTAGCCTTTGCAAGTTTACTTTAGTCAATTTACTTTCTTTTTCAAATTTTGATTTTTTTTTTAATTTTGAACATTTTTAATATTTTATTATTTTACTATTAATGGTAGTAAATAATAAAAAAATCAATTACTGTGGCCCCACCCGGTAAAAGTGATGAAAATTTTATTTTTGATTTTTTTTATTTTTTCAAATTTAAAAAATATTTTTTGATTATTTAATTATTATTTTATTCCTTAAATACTTGAAAACCAGAAGACGAGCGAAAAAACGATAATACCCTCCATTTTCACGGTCTTTTTTTTTTTTTGAATTGGTATTTGGATTAATTAAGGGTTACCTAAACTAGTACATCGCATTTTTGCATAAGCTAAATTGTGGAGATCCTGAACTACCTTCTGGTTTACCTTTATCAGTGAGCAAAGCCGAAAAGTAGCCATTAGGGTACGTATGTTGGCGATTATCTCCTGAGCTTCAATCGAAAATTTAGAAATTTCCTTATCGGTGGTCAAGAGTTCACAATCCGTGTAGATGTGGAGCTTTTGAATGCCCAGAGATGAAGCATCTTGTAATGCCTGTAAGCAGATAGTAACTTCTGCTTGGAGAGGTGACAGTGACGTTATGGAAACTGTCTTAATCTGCAACAACATCCCGGTGGAAGAGAGAATTCGCCAGGCTCCTGCGGCCTTTTTGTTATGGGGATTGAAGGATGCATCAAAAGTAAGTTCTGACAATGGATCACTATGTCTGCTATAGGAAGGGTAGGTGAAGTCGAAGCCGTCTGTGACCTCAGTCTGGACAGCAAAGCCTTGTGCTCCTTAAGGTCCTGTTGTATTAATCTCCATGAAGTGACCGGATCATTGATCTGACTTCTCCACACTTTATCATTTCTGTCTAACCAGATACGCCAGAAGATTAAGAGGAAGATGTCAATGTCCTCTGAAGATGGTTGAGTTTGAATCCATGAGGTAAACCAATCCAATATGGAGGTCATGGAGCCATTTAAAATTGATTGGAAATTAGGGTATGCAAAGCTCCAGACTGCTTGAGAAATTGGATAGTTGAAAAAGAGATGAAGATTGTCTTCCAATCCTGTAAAGCACCTTGGACAGGAAGTATCAACCTGTATTCCCCTTCTCCCAAGTTCTTGTTTGGATGGTAAGGCATTAAGTGTCACCCTCCAAAAAAGGAATTTGTGTTTAGCTTGCACTTTAGCATTCCACAACTTCTTGCAAGCCAAGCTTTCAATATGTGAGGGAATCTGTTGGGTTGCTTGAGCAGGGAAGGTGGGAGAATCTCGGTTTAGAGCTTCATGATACCCTGATTGGACCGTATAGGAACCATGATCTGTCTTTAGCCACAGAAGTACGTTTGGTTGCATATGTCTCGCAGGATCTACATGTATTCCAGTTATATAGGGAATATACTGGTCTGGAAAAAAGGACTGAAGGAGAGACATTTTCCATTGTCCATTTGGTCGGAGAAGATCACTAACCATCAGATTGGAATGTTGAGCTAAAAATGAATTGCACTGTATAGGATTAGTGACTCCAGAAATCCAGTTGCTGGCAATCGGGATATCTCTACCACTTATAACCTTCCATTTTATAATGTTGTGAAGGAGTTTTGCTCCCCAGAGAACACTCTTATATCCCCAAGTGGCATTGGTGAGTGGAGTCTGATGTGAAAAATTTTCCATGGTGCAGTATTTCGCTCTGTATATTCTGGATAAAAGGGAAGATGGTTGTGCCAAAATTTTCCAAGCATGTTTAGCCAAGAGAGCTTGATTAAATTCGTCAGTGGCTTTGAGTCCCAAACCCCCATGAAACTGTGATTTAGCCATTTTCTTCCAAGATTTTCAATGAATACCTTGCTCCTGATCATCACCTTTCCATAAAAAACGAGCAATGATTCCATCAGCTTTCTTTAATGTGGAGGCTGGAAGTTTAAAAATACCCATCGGATATACCAACATAGCTGATAAAGTAGTCTTTGCCAATGTAACCCTCCCAGCAAAGCTAAGAAGCTTTGTCTTCCAGTCCGCAAACTTCCTTTGGAGCCTAGCGGTGAATTCTCTAAAGATATCTGTTTTTTTCCGTTTAAAATCTAGAGACAAACTAAGATATTTGCTCTGAAAATTACCTTCAGGGATATGCAAGGTATTGTGTACCAGAGTTTTCATTGAAGCTGATGTATTCTGACTCACTAAAATGGAGGATTTGTGATAGTTGATCTTTTGACCTGAATAGGAAGCATAATCCTCCAGTAATCTAGACCATGCCTGTATAAATGTATCCCTGCACTCAAGGAAGAATAAGCTATCATCAGCACACATGAGATGACTAATCCGTGGCGCCTGCTTGCTGATTTTGATGCCTAGCCCTGGAAACACTTGTAGCTCTACCCTAATTGCCGAGGAAAGAGCTTGTTGGCATAAAATGAATAGGTAAGGGGACAAAAGACAGCCCTGTCTGAGACCTCTGTTGGGTTAGGACGTAAATAGTCGAAAAATGGCTCTTTTTGAACAGAATGAGACGTAAATGAATATTTTCAAATACATAGGACGAAAATGATTATTTGACCAAATGTACGGGATGTCTTATGCGGTTTAGTCAATGCAATTTGGGATCATATATTAAAGTAATATGGATATATTAATGTTCTAATATTGTTAAAAATATGCAACAAATGGAAATACAAATACATCAACTTACTTATGGCTTGTCATTCAAAAAGAATACAAATACATCACGGAAGAAGAAATAAGGAAGTTAAGAGACCTTTTGGATTCAGAATATCATACATCGATCAGTCAAAGACTCAAAGGAACAGACTTCAAAGACAACATAGTAGTTTGGTGGTAACATAACCCACATTTATTCCAACCTAAATTGAGAAAGGTTCAGTACATAAAGAAGTTTGTGCAACATATTTGACAAAGGGATTTTCTTTCCAGCATCATGGCAATGCCGAGGAAGAAGTCAAAAAGTTCTTTTCCTTGAGGCTTTCGACTGTATCCTTGAGGCTTTGTTTTAGGGGAGTGAACTCAAGGCCTAAGCTTTTCGCCCTTTCCTTGGAAACCTGGTATTCCGGCGCCAATGGATTGTCATTGGCACACCTAGAAAAGAAAAGTGGCACCTAATCAGTAGAAACTTGAGAAATTCACTTTTCTTTTCTTTTCTTTTTTCAAGCAAAGACATGACAGTTTTGTTCCCCTTGGATTGGAGTCTTCAATGAATGAAAAACAACTAAAATCAACAAGGAGTGAAGGCACAAACTCTGAATTCACACATCCAAAAATCAGTAAGTTTAAATGCAGAACCCTAACCAAAATGCAATCTTCAAGAGCATTTCCAAGCTCTCTCCCCCATTGTTTCGATATTTTCATTCTGCTCCATGAATTCTTAGCTTCTCACTATTGACATTAAATAATGCTACATTTCACGAAATTGATCTTGGGCACATTTCTGCCTCGCACCAACAACTTCCAGGAGAAATACTTGCAACCGAATCATTGACAAATGAACAGTAACAATAGCATTGGATTTCAAGATTTGACCTCAAAGTGTTCAGAGGACAAAGAATCCTAAGTCCCTTTCTAATATCTGCTATTCGCCGAAAGAACCCTACCCAGAGTCCAATCTTCAAGAGCACTTACAAGCTCTCTCCCTCATTGTTTCTTTCTTTTCATCCTACCCCATGAATTCTAAGCTTCTCACTGTTGACATAACATAATGCTAGTTTTCACGATATTGTTCTTGGGCACAATTCCGCCTCACAACAACAACTTCCAGGAGAAATACTTGCAACAGAATATTTGACAAATGAACAGTAAACAATAGGATCGGATTTCAAGATTTACCTCAAAGTGTTAACAGGGAAAATGTGTGAGGCAAACTAGGGTTATATAGGTTAATATACAATCGGATGACTAACTTTACCATCAACTTTTTAACCAAACAAATTTTTTATCTACCTTAAAATCCCTCTAAAATCAGAGATGATGCCAAAATGAAATCATGAATAACATATTAAATAATGCTATTTTCTTTCAATAATTTATCCATTGCAGATTACATAAACTATTCCATTCCATGTCATCTTGGCTGGCTCCGGCATGCGAAAATGCTTAAATTTGCACAAGATTCAAATGATCATCCCATATACCAAAGTTCCTTCAAGGCACTTCCCATAATAAATATAAAATTTAATTCTATTCAGGAATTGAATATGAAGTTTGCTATTTTGCAGAAATATTTCTTATCCTAAGATTTTATACTGAGTATCAACTTACAATCTTATAGAAACTCTTCTAAATTGTCATTGCTAGAAAATTAAAAATAATATTCCTCACCAACGTAAACTTAATCAAAATGGATCTGGTTCGCTGGAAAACATTTTATCGTAAAGGGAGAAGGAAGTGATGTCCAGAAACAACATTTTCATTTACATTCTAGATTTTATTTTTTTCTAAAAAAAATACAGATTACTTTGTTTAGGGACATAGCATCACAAAATCTTGATTAGTGAGATTTCTAAACTAATGCTTTGAACTTTTTTCTTTCTTTTTCATAAATGCTTTTCACTCACTGGCAGCCCTGGCTCAGAATATTTAATTGTTGTTTCAATGATTTCATCCCTAAAATATCAGTCTAGTTCCCATTTTGAGCAGCGTGCCACTTGAAGAACTTCACCACTAGCCTATTGGCCTACCAAAAGCTTATGTCTTCTCAATATTTCCAGCAACTTTACGACAAATGAACAATTGACAGTATTTGAAACTGCGTAAAAACTGTTTCCAAACACAAAATTATCTTAACCATCAAATATCTGAATATGTTAGTTGATTATCTCCCGGCATAAATGTATGACTTTAATTATCAGTTGCATTCACAAAGCTAGCTTTTGAGTTGAAGAATACCTTCGATCTCTATAGCTTAGTTCCAAATGTTTTTCCGTTTTGAGATACCCTATAAATCCCTAGGAAATTTAGCTAAGAACAGAAATAATGCTATGGGAATCGAAAAACATGCAATCACCAAGGCCACAAAGAAATTCACGAGTCTTCACTTGTCTTTGATCCAGGATGATCATACAAACATGTATTTCAATGGTTCTAAAGATTACTCATTCAGTAATTCAGCCGACTAACTAAAAAATTAACCCTAACGGAAAAACAAGGCATCACATCAACGAGGTCTGAAACACGGTGAACCGGAACCCACACTGAACAAGTTCAATTATTTTGCAAGATGGTATAACTCACTTTTCAGGAAATTTGATGGAAGGATAAAGGTCACCCAATATCTTCACAATTTTTGACTGGTGTGCCACGCTCTCAACCAAGCAATATCTTCCATTAGCCTCTGGATTTTCAAAAGCTAGAATATGAGCAGTAGCAACATCTCTAACATCGACCCAGCCAAAGGTTAAATTAGGAAATGTTTCTGCACCTGCATTAAATTAGCAGAATACAGTCAAACAATGCAAGGAAGAGATGCTGTTTGGTATTAAAGGAAGTCATGTTGAAAAAACTTACATATCAAGTGAGAATATTTTATCGCAAGAAATCAGAATATCAGATCTATCACAAAAATCTTTGAATGGCAAAGAAGATCAACACCATTCTTTTTCGTACAACCTAGCAAAGAAAAGACGACTATAGGGGAATCCTTGATGCGAAAGCATAATATTGTCTTTGCAAACTTTACAACAATAATCAGCAAAGAGGATGTTTACGCAACAAGATAAAGCAAAGGTTAAAACCATGGTCAAAACTCTTACCAAACTAAACCAGTTCATAAATGAAAAGCAAATAAAAACAAAACACAGAGCATACGAGTAAAATATGACATTAGATTTATACATATGCACTGATTAAAACACAAGAGAGGAAAATGACTGCTACACTTTAAGGGTGTTTACAAGAGCATATGATTTATTCTAGGGTGTTTATAAGAGCATATTATTTATTTCAAGGCGTATAATCGTCTATTAGACTATTACTAAAATTCAATTGTGTGTTATACACAAGTTCTACCATGATGATCAAATCAATCTTTTCAGCAAAGAATACAATTGCACTACAGCACTAATTGATCACAAGAAACTTGAAACCACTCTTCGGAATAAACAGAGGAAAAGTAGATCTAAAATGCTGGATAGTGTCTGCTTAACTGTTGAACATTACCATTCACTAAGTTCAATATTGCAGCGGCACTAGTATTAAGTGTTGGCTGTAAAAGAGGACCAATCACCATAGCAGGATTTATTACAACCATGTCTATGCCTTTCTCTTGTACAAACTTCCATGCAGCCTCCTCCGCTAATGTCTTCGAAAGAACATACCACATCTGATGGAACAAAATAGAAAGGAGGAACGTTATGCATGTTGAAATGAGAAGTGAAACACTTCGTATGCATCATGTGACTTTCCTAGATGCTGGCGGACTTCATAATAAATGACAATGTCCATTTAGAGAGACTTTTTAGTAAGAAACTTTTATTACCTGACACATGTAGATTACTCTCACCAACAATTTATAGTGTAAAAGTAAGAGATTGTAAGATACAATATAATAACGTGTTCCCCATATTTTGATCCTGAATGTGCATAAACTCTGCAACTTTTTGCATCAAAACAAAATGTTGTAACGAAATGCTGTAACCAAATTATGGTGCAGGAAGATTCCTTGGTAAACAATCTACGGCTAAAGAGACCAGAATTTCAATATCTCAAAGCTCAAAAAAACCAGGAGCAGCAACGAGTTCATACACATAATTAACTTCTTTGTACCAGGGAAAAAAGCAACATAAATGATTTGAAAATTTCAACTTCTTCATATCATAAAAAGAAACAGAACTCATTAGCTCCACATAAATTTGGCAATGACTGCCTACTCTGAAGTCTACATAGATGAACTATAGCAGCTTGGAGCTGATTTAGATTATCGGTTATCTAGTTCCATACGTTTTAATCAACTTTAGTTTGAGGGATTTTCTCTCTGCATTAGTTGAAAATGGACCAGTCATCTCCTTTAGTTATCAGCAGCAGCAGATTAAGCTGGTAATAATTGACTAGCGGCAGCAATTACCGAGTCGGTAGTTTTTGAACGACTTGGCCTCAGCAGTTGAACTCTTTGAGCTTACCAAGTCAGGTACCTATTTCCAATAAGATTAACTTCAAATACTAGCTTTATTTAAGATTAGCCATGAAGTCTGTGACCCATGTCATTGAATAAATTCTCGGATAAAGTTGAGAATATTAAGGAACGAGCACTTCTTTCTTTCTAAGGTGCAGAGATGTAGGAGCCTAAAGTTCCTCTCTCCTAGTGCTCTCAACCTCATTAGTTTACTGCACACTATCAGTAATTTCGGCGTCATGATATAGTTCCTTTCTTTAGTCAAATAAAGGAGGAAGTTTACATTGAGTTTGAGATTTGTACTAAATGTGGACTAGTTTTTTGGGACAGAGGAAGTATTAACAAAGAACATTAGAACATGAACACATACATGCTACCAGAAATTTAACGACACAATAAATCACAAATAAAGATCACAGGAATAGGACAAAAATGTAATTCAATCAAAGATTTCAGGCTGCAACAACTGCTAATGAGTCACTTCTTTAGTTTATAGAACGAAGTAGGTTATTCAATCAAGTCCCGACTTTTATGAGGCTCACCATTGTTGATGACTTTTTTTCCAACTAACAACACAGCTTCTAAGATCAATTAGAACCCTTACATAAAACATCATAGTATCGGCATTCTCAAGTTAGCTGATTCATTTGGGTCTCAGTTATTATTTGGTTCCTAATTTTCTGACCAACTTTTTTCCCACTAACATCATATGTGCTGAAACCTATATCGGTTTCTCGAATTATAATGCTCTCACCCTCTCTCCTTATCTAAAAATGCAGCTATTTGATCACTAATTCTCTGCCATGCTTACCAGTTTCACTTTTTGAAGATTAAATAGTAAATTTAGTAAGTACAAACAAAGAACAGTAGAAAATGAATACATACAAGCTCTCAAAAATAAGAGACCAAAGTAAATCAAATAAGGATACCCTGGCAGCAACAACTCAACATCACTCCTCTAGTTTACAAATAAACTGATTCATAAAGGTCTCAAATTTTATCTGGCTCTTCCTTGAATTTTCCTAACCTCTTTTTTTTCAACGAACCACACATCTTCTTACATTCATTCATACTTCAGTTAGAACAACACAATATGGGAATTCTCACGTTCTCTTCCGTTTCAAGCATCTGTATTAACCAAAAGGTTTATGGTGCCGGAAACCTTAGAAAATTATCCAATGTTTTTGAGGCGAGAAGCTCAAGGTTAAATCAGACCATATAGTCACGGGATAAAGGTCTTACAACCATTAGATATAAATCTTTCAACAAAATCCCAAAAGTTACTAAAACTCAAAAATAGGGAGCATAGCCTATCTTGATCCTGAAGGAATTTTTCATGATCCTCACAAGGGAATAGTCGCATTCAGTTTAATCAAGTAAAAAGATATCTATTTGAGTCAAGAAAGAAACTTCTCTATAAATTGCAACACTCATAAGATAACCCTCTAGCATTGGATCAAAATATTCCTTCTAATCTTGAATTGCTAGCCAAGCAGCTTTTGATGTTGACCTATTTTATCAGCCAGAAAATCAAAATAGCATACAGGAACCAGCTGAATCATGTTTCAAATTTATAAAATTCTTCAGAATCATGCAGCCTCCAAAATCTATCACTAGTTGCAAAAATAGATAAATACGCAAGCTTCATGCCAACAAGAGCTTCTACAGATACCAGGAGCACCTGGAACTGAAGGTACTAGGAAGCTGCACCTGACGCATATTTAGATTCATGACAATCAGAAAGAAGACAAGCACAGCTCCGACTTAAGGATTTAGGACAAATCTCTAGGTCATAAGGAATCTGAGATTCCCAACAATGCATATAAAGCCACAGTTACTTCTACAAAAGAACTGAAGCTTACCAAGGTCAAACAAACTCTTCTCCATATATTATATTTAGCACTGAAACCAGCATGCTAGCTCTTCAACAGATTCACTACAAAGCAAGACAGAACATGGTGCGGACCATACAGAAATGGCCATAGACACATAAGGCTGTTATGTCTTGTTCAGAAAGCTAAGGATCCGCAATGATTGAATCTTAAAGAAAGGGATGGTGAAGAAGAATTACTACGCAACATATATTTGTTTCTATGAAGACCAGAAAGCAGAAGTCACGCACCTTGTTTTCTCTGCAGAAATCTGGAAGACTCCACCAGGTTTCATCAACTATCACATCAGGGGTTCGAGGGCGGTCATTGCAGATTACTGCAGCTACTGACGATGTAAGAACCACTCTTTTCACTGAGGGTGCTTTTGCACATGATCTAAGAACATTAAGTGTCCCTTTCAAAGCAGGGTCAATCAATTCCGCCTGTCAACAGACCTCCAAAATGATTTGCAGATTCCAAATATATATCATTTTACTAGTCAAGATAAGAAATGGGAACTATTTCATCACACAATTACTCCGTTGATGCCTGGTCAATGAAACGGGAACTAGGTATTTTGCAAATGTTATTTATTTTCTACTTGCAATGAAAAGATACCATCAATTTTGATACCCACTTTTCTGGCACCAAAAAAACTAGTAGATTTCTGTCCTTAAACTAATGTCATGGCTCATATCATTAGCATAATTGCTCAATAAGCAAATTACAGCTCAAACCTGAGCTGAAAAAAGAATCTTGAAAGCTGTGATTAGTAATTAGCTTTCTGACACTTAAATATGATAAAAACTATTAAAATATAGCCAGATTGCTGTCACTTTCTTTCTTTTTCATTTTTCAGCATTTTGCATATTATTGTAAATGGATAACAAATTCCTGAAGGTAGTAACTGTTTTCATTTCAATAGCTATAAATTACGTGTTACTTGTACACATCTAACTATGAAAAAACCAAGCATTGTTTACTCAGAAGGTAGTTATGGAGTCTCACAACAAAAACTGAGAGTTATTCCATAGGATAGTGATGGCTGACAGGTATCTAGCAGAATTTGTAAATTTAAAAGAACACAATAAAAATCAGGCACAAACTCAACATCATTAGCAATAAAACAATAGAAGTAAGGGAAAAAAATGTTTGATAAACCTCAGGATCAGAAGTAGGATTGTGGAAAGGGGATGCTGTATGGAAGACACCATCACAACCATCAATTGCTTCGTCAAAGGAACCTTCTTCAAGTAGATTTGCTTTGAACAGGTGGAGTCTGTCCTTAGCTCCATCAAGTGCTAGCAAGTGTTCTACCTTCTTCGGGTCATCTACATAATAGTTGGCATGAATTCACATGACATTCTGTAGCCATATAATTAAAAGGAGTAAACCAAACCGAATTACAGTGTGGATTCAAGGAATGTAACTACAGCATTAGATCGTGATTATGTCATGAATGGCTGCAGACGGAAACTGTCATAATAGTAAAAGGCCGAATAACCACCGCTACAACAGAAGCACAAAGCCCAGCAATGGAACTCGAGTATATCAGTTGCCATTAACAATAAAAAGCAAGAGACAATTGAAGCAGCGGCTGAAGCAGTACAAGATGATATCTATTCATCAGGCCGCTGTTTCTTACATGCATTCCTTACTATAAAACATTGACTAAGAATGACTAGAAATTAGTCCAAAAACATCAAAAGTTCCTGGTGATACATTGGAAGTACAGGGGATTAAAGATTACAAAGAATCGAAGCGTAGAATAAAGGTGCAAGCTTTCGAAGCCCAATAGTCATCTCATTTCATCAAATTCCTTCCCCTGCTTTGCTAGAAACCTAGACAATTCAAGCTAATTTCATCTAATTCATTTTGGTAGCCAGAAACCATGAGGCTAAAAAAAGATGGTACACAACAATATTTCCAATCAGCAATAACCAGTACAAATAAATAGAAGTTGAAATCAAATCAAGCATCAGCTCATGCAAAGTTCACAACCCACATCCCAAAATTGCTACTTGAGTTAAAAAAGAAAACAAAAAGAACTCACTTACTGGGGTCACGAACAGAGGCTTTGACAGTACAACCACGCTGGAGCAATAACTTCACAAGCCATGATGCTATGAAGCCTGAACCTCCGGTAACACAAACGGTCTTCATTTCTTCTCCCAGAAAGAGTTCTCAATTCCGGTCAGTGGTTCAGAATCCCAAGTGAAAATTCCAGCCAAGAAGTGATGGAGAAGGGGGAGCAGAGTTGTTAAATAGAAACAAAAAGAACTGCAGTCGCTGTTTTTGTTGTCCATCAATGGAGGTATCATTTGATTTGATGGCTCCATTTTACTTTATAGTAGAGTTTAGTCATTGTTTAAAGGGAAAATTTGAGGGAAAAAATAAAAGAAAATGTCCCCACGTTAGAAATAATGTGGTTCGTTTTGTTTGATTCCTGCTTTATTGGTTTTCTTCTTTTTCACTATTTTTCCTAATACCGTGCATACTACTATTTTTTTATTAGGGGTAATGCACAAGAATCCCCTCGTGGTTTTAGAAACTTTGGAAACTACACAATAACCCCTCATGTTTTAAAAACCACATGAGAACCCCCTGGTGGTTTTCCAAAACGTGTAAGTTGGATGGTAAAGTGTGATATTAACGGAGAGTGTGATTCACGCGCATATATTGGGAAGTGGGGTTTCTCTTTTTTGCTAAAAAATTTTTTCAGACCAAAAGTACCCCGTTGAATTGTTTTTTTTTCTCAGCCAATCGTCCATTTAAGTTTTGACTTTTAACCATTTTTCCATTACTTTAATTCTTCCTTTTTTTTCTTAAAGTTTTTTATTCCTATACATTATGTATTTTCATTTAGTGTAATATATATTATTTTTTTACCCTAATAATATTAATATTTGTTATTATTAGGGGTGATTATTTTTTAGCCCTAATATATGATTCTATATTATTATAAACAGAATCTATAAAATAACAGAATTATATCCCCCCACTTCTCCACACGCCCCAAACCAGCATTACAAACCATTATCATTAAGAAATATCTTGAAAAATTACAACGGAAAAAAAAAAAGGGAAAAGCTTACAAGTCTAAAACTAGAGGGGAAAAAGTGAAGGAATTAATCAAGGAAGTTTAATCTAACTTCACCTAACTTCGAGTTTTTCAACAAATATTTTAAAATGAAAAACAAAAAAAAAAAAGAAAATAACTACAAAAATTTCAAAAATCATGAGACCACCGATGTCGTAGAATGCCAAATAAAACCCCTTATCCACAAGGGAAACTTGAACGAAAATTCTGAATCCAGCAAATTATTGTTGCCGTCTTGAATGTGAAATTCATATCTCACCCTCTCGAAACCATAGTAGGGGATCCAAACATTCTCGAAAACTAATTGATCGCGCCAGCTCAGAAGAGAAAAAATATGCCCATGGTTGACCTCTTGGATCATGGTAATGGGGTGGATGTACTTGGACGGTGGCGCAATAACTAGCTAGATCTGTCAATTGTGGTTGGTGGTTTTCAATGGGTGAGAAGGAAGATGGAGATATTGAAGGAGAGAGAATCAAGACAAAAAGAAGGAAGAGGGAGATATTGGAGGAGAGAGAATCAGTGAGTGGAGGAAATGAGAGAAAGGTAAGAAATTTGGTGCTGTGAATCTTATATAAATAGGGGTAAAATGGTCCAATTGAATGATGCCGTTAATGTTTATTTTTTCCGTCCAACTTACTCGTTTTGGAAAACCACGAGGGGGTTCTCGTGTGTTTTTTAAAGCATGAGGGGGTTATCGTGTGGTTTCCAAACCCCTTACCGTTATCGTGATGTACCTCGTTGATCTAACTATGCATTCTTCAACTCGAGTTCAACGTGCATCTCATTGTACATTCGAAATGTTTTCAATTTTCTTCCGACATTAGTAAAATTATTATAAGTCCCTTCTCAAGTCAGGTGACAAACCTTTTTTTTTAAAACAAAATAAACATTCGAATTACGAATTATTTGAAATACTATTAAGAACAGATAATTGACAAAATTAGAAGGTTTTCTCAAATGAGATTTTTTGTCTTTACAAGCATTGATAACATTATTATGTCTATTTTACAGCATACATGTCTCTAACAATATCATGTTACACAATTTAATAAGTTTGTGTAATTTTTTAATTCAGGATACTATCTACAGCATTTGAAGTCATTCGCAATGTAATGAACTTTAATACTAAGGATCCATTGTTTTGCAGTTAGTTATCCCAGTTATGGAGATAGCAGAATTGAAGTCGTCGAGAAGGTGGAGCAGAGTTATTAAATAAAATCAAAAGAACTGTAGTCGGTGTTTTTGTTTTCAAATTATGAAGGTAGTATTTGATCTTGATGTGATGGCTCCATTTCACTTTATAGAAGTTTAATCATTGGTAAAAAGGAAAATTGAAAGAAAAAATAAAAGAAAATATCCTCACGTGAGAAATAATGTGGTTCTTTTTCTTTTTTTTTTTGGTACAGAGATGGAGGCGTAACGCCTAGTTCTATTCTATTACAACCCAGGGATATGAAACCCCAATTATGTCATGGAAAATCCATGGCTTTACAAAAGGTAGAGGATCCGACAGTTTCGTATATCTCCAAGAGGATGTTGCATTCCGGCCAAGCAGTCAGCGGAGAAGTTAGCTTCCCTATAAATATGACAGATTTGTACAGTCCACCTTCTATTAAGCAACTACCTGATACCTTTGATGATACCATCATGGACTGTTACCACATCTTTCCTTTGAGTTGTCAAGTGCAGAGCGGCCAAGCTATCTACTTTTAGAATCATGCTGCGGTGGCCTAATTCCCACCCAAGCTGGAGACCGTAAAAAACACCCCAAAGCTCTGCCCCGGTGACGGATGTGCTGCCAATGTTGATCATAAAACCTCCCATCTATCTTCCATTCGAATCCTGAATTAAACCCCCTGCAGTTGCTGCCCTGTAGATGGATGTAAAGAACCATCCGTGTTTAGCTTCACACAGCCATTTGGTGGTGCCTCCCAAGTGATCGTTCTCTATACTCTTGCTGCCCGCACCGATCTGAGTCTTTTCTCCCCTACTGTAGCAACCTCCATTTCCTTTAACCTCTTAGAGACTTCAAAACACTTCATTTGCAGGGTCAAGTTCGTCCCATTAAACACGAGGTCATTTCTCCATCTCCAAATTAGCCAACATATAACCCGAAATGTGGGGGTCTAGTTTGGATTAAGGAGATTCGACAAAAACCATTGTTGCTCCTGTGCCACAAAGAATTCCGAATGGTGAGACTGGGGGAGGAATTGGAGCCATATATGACGCGAATGACTGCAGTCACGAAGAACATGGAGGATGGATTCCTCTTCTTGTTGGCACCTGGGGCAAGTCGCCGAATGTGCAAATTGGCGACGGACCCTCTCCTTGCTTGTCATCAGCTTTCCCTTCGCCGCCAACCATAGACATTTTGACCCTTACTGGTCCCTGCCAGGTCCAAATCAATTTCCACAGCAAAGTAATAAGGCGTTGTGGGATCTCCTCCAATCTACGGTAGGCAGCCCTTGTTGAGAATCCTCCGTCAATAGATTTTGGCCAGATTCGGCGATCTTCTCTGTTGGACAAAGACAGTGGCATCATTGCCGCAATTTTCAGAACCACGGATGCTAGCAGCCACGATTGGAACTGTGTCCAATCCCACTGGCCATCTAGTCTCACAAATTCAGCTACCTACTTACCATATTGATCTCGGGGAATGGGCCTTGTTGTTAATTCCATTAATGGCTTTGAGCCCATTATCCATGCATCCTCCCAGAATCGTATGGTTTTGCCATTATGAAGGGACATCTCACCTCCTCCAACAAGGGCCTCCACACTTTCTTAATTGAATTGAAAGTGGTAGACCCATTTGCTGTCTTGAAATCATCAGGCTGGGAGAAAGGGGTAGCCCATACTTACCTTTGATTGCTTTGACCCATAGAGCATCTGGGCTTTCAAGTAAACCCCACCCTAATTTCATAATAAAGGCTTTGTTCATAACATGAGGCTTCTTCAAGCCTAGTCCCCCGAATTCTTTGGGTTCACAAGCTTCCTCCCATGCAACGCCACTCATCTTTCTGGAGTCATCATCCCCTCCCCACACGAACCGGCGACAAAGTCTATCAATTTCCGAGCATACTCACATTGGGAGCATATTTGATTGCATGTTTTAATAAGGCAGTGTGCTGAGGATGGATTTAAGGTGGAAGGCTTCAGGCCTGAGAGGCTTGATCTCAAGCTCTACAATATATGGGCATATGTGCCTTGCTTAACTCTGCCATGAATTAGGGGTACCCCGATGTATTTTCCCAAATCATCTACTTGAATAAAACCAACCATCTGGCTAGCATCTGAGCTCTCTGTCGCTCGAAATTTGCTGAGAAATAAACCCTGGTTTTAGGTTGACTTATTTTCATTCCAGAAACTTTACAGAAGTCTCCAAGGATTAACTGCAGTACCGCCACTTGTCTGTCTGTGGCCTCCAAAAATAGTAAAATGTCATCAGCAAATAGTAGATATGGTAATTTGATTCCTTGCCTCCCCATCTTCAATGGCTTCCATCCTCTAGCCGGTACTGCTTCACGGATAGCATGGCCAAGTCGCTCAATTCACAATACAAATAAATAGGGAGAGATTGGATCACCTTATCGAATCCCACGGTTTGGCTTGAATTCCTCCGAGACTTTACTATTCCATTGTACTTGCATTGTAGGGGAAGTGACACACTTCATGATTCAAAAAATAAGGGAGTCCGGGAATCCCGCTTGTTGAAGAGTATCCTCAATAAAGTACCACCGAATTATATCATATGCCTTCTCCAAGTCAATCTATAATGTGGTTCGTTTTGTTTGATTCTGGCTTTATTGTTTTTTTTTTTTCACTATTCTTCATATTTTAAATTTTTAATACGTATTACTGTTTTTTTATATTTGAAAAGCAAACTTAACGTGCAATTGCAGAGTCATAAGAATCTGGAAGTTCCATAAATCAAAAAAAAATTACCTCATTTAAGGGTTGGCAAATCAAATTACAAAAGTCATTTAAGGGTTGAATGATTTGTAACTGAGTAGTTTCTTTGTTATGACTAATCCCGGTTTATTTGTAAAGATCATTTGTCTGTTCATTTGAGGGGTGTTTCAGATTAATGACCTTGAAAGAACCACTTGTGGACACCCATAGTTCTAGGTTTTTTTTATTGTGGAAGCAAATACCTTTTCCGCAATGTAACTATGCGGAAATCTTAATAAAATGAATTAAGAAAACCGCATACGAGGAATGCGGTTTTCTTAATTTATTTTTTTTTAAAAAAAGGCCAAAACTGGCATAAAATTCGATGTCAAATAAAAAATTAATAAACTAAAACCGCTTAACTTAAATGCGGATATAACAATTTAAATTTTAAAAAAAATTCATAAGGCGGCAAAATTTGAATGTCCAAATAAAAAAACCGCATATTTTGTTTGCGAAAAATAAAACCGCATTCCTCCTATGCTATTTTAAATCTTAACCAGAAAATTTAAACAGGTCTTGCGGTAACGACACGTGGCGTATGAACCTTCTCTTGTTTGTGTAATGTTGTTGAACATTTGTTGGTGCTTGTTTAATAGTTTGATCGTTTGGTATTATTTGTGTTAAAAGTAATCTTAAAAAAGAAAAAAAGAAAGGCATACTCAGTCAAAACCGCATGGCCCAGATGTGGTTTCTTTCATGGACAAGATTGAGCCACGTGGCTCAATCTGGTGGCGAAGTTTGAATCGGTCAAAACCGCATAGAAGGAATGCGGTTTTACTTTAACTTTTTAAGTTTTGACATATTAAAATGACTAAATTATAAAATGACCCCCATTAAATTACAAAATAGACACCCTAATATTTATAAATGACACCCTTTCACTTCTTTTCTTATTTGAACCACGTGGCAATGAAAATTTTTCGTTACACCCTTAATAATAAATTTTCAATTTTCATTTTAATCCAAATAGGCTGCTATTGATAATATTTGTTTTGTTTATACTTAGTCGATTTAATTTATTATCTTTACATATATACTACTTAGTTTTCACTTATATGGAATCTTTTAATAATCAAATTTAACCAATTACATACTGTATTTTGTGTATAACTAAATATTACATTAGTAAAAAGAACAAATTTGTTCAATAACAGACAATTTTTAAGTATAACTAAGTATTTGTAAGTAATACATGTGAAAAAAGAATAAATTTGAACAATTACATACTCTATTTTGTGTATAACTAAGTATTACATTAGTAAAAAGATCAAATTTCTACAATAACAGACACTTTTTTAGTATAAATAAGTATTACATGTTAAAATAGAAAAAATTTGAACAAGTACTTACTTTATTTTGTATATAACTAAGTATACATTAGTAAAAAGATCAAATCTGTGCAATAACAGACACTTTTTAAGTATAAATAAGTATTACTAAGTGAAAAAGAACAACTTTGAACAATTACAGATTTTGTTTATGTATAACTAAAATTTACATTAGTAAAAAGATCAAATTTGTTCAATAACAGACACTTTTTAAGTATAAATAAGTATTATTAAGTATTACATGTAAAAACAGAACAAATTTGAACAATTACATACTCTATTTTGTGTGTAACTAAGTATTACAGAACAAAATACATGTCGTTCTCACATATCAAAGCATCTTTTACTTATTTTTTTCCTATAATACCCTTGGTCAAGGCAGCTATCCATATTTAATGGCATCGTTATTTTCAAGAGTCACT